TCCCCATTTTCCCCAGGCTCATCCCTTTCCCAACTCCCTCAGGATTCTCCAGCCCTTTCCCAGCTCCCTCAGGATTCTCCGGCCCTTTCCCAGCTCCCTCAGGATTTTCCAGCCCTTTCCCAGCTCCCTCAGGATTCTCCATTCCCTCTTGGCTTTGTTCCTAAATTTCCCTCAGTACTGGAGGTGCCCAGCGGAGAGGAATGGAGCAGGTGAAGGGTTTTGCATCCACACCCTCGGTTTTGTAGGACATGGATCTTCCATGAATCTTCCATGGATCTTCCACAGATCTTCTCCTGGGTGTTGTCCAGCTCCTCCTCCTGCCTGGAGGAACATCCATGGCCCCTCATTTCCATGGCCCCTCATTTCCACAGGTGTACGTGTTAACCCTAATAAAATTCAACTTAATTAATTAATAAAACACAACTCATGCTGAACATGGAAATTCACACCCAACAATCCTGATAAAATTACAAATACAAAAATCAGAATCGTTCCCAGCAGCTACATCTGCATTTCCGTTATCTATTGTCACACAGAGTCCTTCATCACACAGCCTGTCCTATAAATATAGGGCCGGGCTTATAACTATAGGGTGAGGCTTATAAATATAGGGCCAGATCCATAAATATAGGACCAGACCTATAAATATAGGGCCAGGCTTTTAACTATAGGACCAGACCTATCAATATAGGGCCAGGCTTATAAAAACAGGGCCAGGCCTATAAATATAGGGTCAGGCCTACAAATATAGGGCCAGACCTATAAATATAGGGCCAGGCCTACAAATATAGGACCAGACCTATAAATATAGGGTCAGGCCTATAACTGTAGGGCCAGGCCTACAAATATAGGGCCAGGCCTGTAAATGTAGGGCCAGACCTACAAATATAGGGCCAGACCTATAAATATAGGGCCAGGCCTACAAATATAGGGTCAGACCTATAATATAGAGACAGGCCTATAAATATAGGGACAGGCCTACAAATACAGGACCAGACCTATAAATACAGGGACAGACCTGTAAACATAGGGCCAGTGCCATAAATACAGGACCAGACCTATAAATATAGGGCCAGACCTATCAATATAGGACCAGACCTATAAATATAGGGCCAGGCCTATAAATATAGTACCAGACTTATAAATATAGGGCCAGACCTATAAATGTAGGGCCAGACCTATAAATATAGGGCCAGGCCAACAAATATAGGGCCAGGGCTACAAATATAGGGCCAGACCTTGGGTTTGTGTCTGGGTGAACTCAAATTTTCTTTAAATCTGCCCAAATTTATTTTTTTTAATATTTTTTTTTGTGACCTGAGGACAATTTGCCCTCCAGCTCTGAGCTGATTCCCTCTCATTTCCCACGGATCCCAGGCTGAGCCATCTCCGGGGTTTCAACCCCTGACCCCAAATTTTTAATTTCAACCCCAAGCGCTGACCTTGGCTGCTTAAAAATCATCACAGTTCCGTGAATTTCGGTCTCTGAGGTTTGTTCTGAGTCCCAGCTTCTAAAAGGAGATGAAAGCCCCACCTGGCCCAAAGGTAAATGAATAATTTATCTGAAATTCACCATTTCTGCACATAAAACAGGGCCCAGATCTCCCAAGGACAGGGAAAGGGAGAAATTTTTGGGGTTTTATTGGTAATTCTCTGCCCCAGGTTGACAAAAATAARSCCCATTTGSTTCTAAAGTGATCCAAACAGACCCCAAATCTCTCAGGGATAAAGAAAGTGAGAAATTTTGGGGTTTATTGATAATTCTTGGCTCCACATCAGCAAAAGCAGAGCCCATTTGGTTCTAAAGTGATCCAAACAGACCCTAAACCTCCCCAGGACATGGAAATTAAGAAATTTTGGGGTTTTATTGGTAATTCTCTACTCCAGATCAGCAAAGCAAACCCCATTTGGTTCTAAAGTGAACCAAACAAGTCCCAATATCCCAAGGACAGAGAAAAAAAATAATTTTGATGCTTTATTGGTAATTCTCAGCTCCAGATCAGAAAAAACAAACCCCATTTGGTTCTAAAGAGACCCAAACAGATCCCAAATCTCTCAGGGATCAAGAAAGTAAGAAATTTTGGGGTTTACTGGTAATTCTCTGCCCCAGATCAGCAAAGCAAACCCCATTTGATTCTAAAGTGAGCCAAACAGGTCCTAAATCTCCCAGGGACAGAGAAAAAAAAGAAATTTGATGATTTATTGGTAATTCTCTCTGTCCCAGATCAGCAAAGCAAACCCCATTTGGTTCTAAAGTGACCCAGTCTCAATATCCCAAGGACAGAGAAAAAATAGAAATGTGATGATTTATTGGTAATTCTCAGCTCCAGATTAGCAAAGCAAACCCTATTTGGTTCTAAAGTGACCCAAACGGGTCCCAAATCTCTCAGGAATAGAGAAAGAAATTTTGGGATTTATTGGTAATTCCCTGCCTGGGTCTGACAGAAATAAACTCCATTTGGTTTAACCCCTCTAACGCCCTCCCCTCCCTGCAGACCCTCCAGCAGTGGAGCTGATGTTCCTGGAGATGTCTCTAGGAAACAAACCCAGATTAATCTCCTCTCTAGGCCTGGTTTAACCCCTCTAACGCCTTCCTCTCCCCGCAGATGGCCTGGCAGTGGAGCCAACATTCCTGGAGGTGTCTCTAGGACACAAACCCAGATTAATCTCCTCTCTAGGCCTGGCTTAACCCCACCCTTCCTCTCCCCAAGACCCGCCGGCGGTAGAGCTGATATTCTTGGAGATGTCTGTAGGACACAAACCCGAACACAAACCCAGATTAATCTCATCTCTAGGCCTGGTTTAACTCCTCTAACGCCCTCCTGCTCTCCCCCAGACCCACTGGCAGTGGAACTAGCATTCCTGGAGAGGTCTCTAGGACATGTCCTACACACGAGCCGAGATCAGTCTCCTCTCTAGGCCTGGTTTAACCCCTCTAATATTCTCCTCCAGACCCGCCGGCAGTGGAGCCCACGTTCCTGAAGATGTCTCTAGGACATAAACCCAAACACAAACCCAGATTAATTTGGTCTCTAGGCCTGGTTTAAGCCCTCTAACACTCTCCTCTCCCCTAGACCCGTCGGCAGTGGAGCCGACATTCCTGGCATTGTCTCTAGAACACAAACCCAGATTAATCTCCTCTCTAGGCCTGGTTTAACCCCACCCCTCCTCTCCGCCAGACCTGCCAGCAGTGGACCCGATGTTCCTGGAGGTGTCTCTAGGACACAAACCCCAACACAAACCCAGATTAATCTCATCTCTAGGCCTGGTTTAACCCCACCCCTCACTCTTCCCCACAGACGTGCCAGCGGTGGAGCTGATGTTCCTGGAGGTGTCTCTAGGACACAAACCCAGATTAATCTCCTCTCTAGGCCTGGTTTAACCCCTCTAACGCCCTCCTCTACCCCCCAGACCTGCCAGCGGTGGAGCCGACCTTCCTGGAGGTTTCTCTAGGACACAAACCCAGATCAATCTCCTCTCTAGGCCTGGTTTAACCCCACCCCTCTACCCCCAGACCCGCTGGCGGTGGAGCCGACATTCCTGGAGCTGTCTCTAGGACACAAACCTGGATTAATCTCATCTCTAGGCCTGGTTTAACCCCACCCCTTCTCTCCCCCAGACCCGCCGGCAGTGGAACCCATGTTCCTGGAGGTTTCTCTAGGATACAAACCCAGATTAATCTCATCTCTAGGCCTGGTTTAACTCCACCCCTCCTCTCCTCGGACACCCGCCGGCAGTGGAGCCTATGTTCCTGGAGATGTCTCTATGACATAAACTCAAACACAAACCCAGATTAATTTGGTCTCTAGGCCTGGTTTAACCCCACCCCTCCTCTCCCCCAGACCCGCTGGCGGTGGAGCCGACGTTCCTGGAGATGTCTCTAGGACACCAACCTGGATCAATCTCCTCTCTAGGCCTGGTTTAACCCCACCCCTCCTCTCCCCCAGACCCATCAGCGGTGGAGCCCACGTTCCTGGAGATGTCTCTATGACATAAACCCAAACACAAAACCAGATTAATTTGGTCTCTAGGCCTGGTTTAACCCCACCCCTCTCTCCCCACAGACCCGCCGGTGGTGGTGCCAATGCTCCTGGAGATGTCTCTAGGACACAAACCCAGATTAATCTCCTCTCTAGGCCTGGTTTAACCCCTCTAACACCCTGCTCTCCCTGTTGACCCTCTGGCAGTAGAACCAGCATTCCTGGAGATGTCTCTAGGACACAAACCCAGATAAATCTCATCTCTAGGCCTGGTTTAACCCCTCTAATGTTCTCCTCTCCCCGCAGACCGCCTGGCGGTGGAGCTGATGTTCCTGGAGATTTCTCTAGGACACAAACCCAAACACAAACCCAGATTAATTTGGTCTCTAGGCCAGGTCTAAGCCCTCTGACAGTCTCCTCTCCCCCCAGACCCAGCGGCGGTGGAACTGGCATTCCTGGAGTTGTCTCTAGGACACAAACCTGGATTAATCTCATCTCTAGGCCTGGTTTAATCCCACCTCTCCTCTCCCCGCAGACCCGCCGTCAGTGGAGCTGATGTTCCCGGAGACATCTCAAGGATGGGTCCCAAACACAAACACGAGTTAAACCAGAAACCCAGATTAATTTGGTCTCCAGGCCTGGTTTAACCCCTCTAACACCCTCCTGTCCCCACAGACCTGCCGGTGTTGGAGCTGATATTCCTGCAGATGTCTCTAGGACGAGTCCCAAACACAAACCTGGATTAATCTCCTTGCTAGGCCTGGTTTAACCCCACTAACATCTCCTCTCCCCGCAGACCCGCCAGCGGTAGAGCTGATGTTCCTGGAGATGTCTCTAGGACATGTCCTAAACACAAACCCAGATTAATCTCCTCTCTATGCCTAATTTAACCCAACCTCTCAGTCTTCCCCACAGACCTGCCAGCGGTGGAACTGATGTTGCTGGAGGTTTCTCTAGGACATAAACCCAGATTAATTTGGTCTCTAGGCCTGGTTTAACCCCACCCCTGCTCTCCCCCAGACCCGCCGGCGGTGGAGCCCACGTTCCTGGAGCTGCGGCAGGGCCAGGGCCGCAGCGTCACCATGAGCTGCCGCGTTCTCCGCGCGTACCCCACGCGGGTCCTGACCTACGAGTGGCGCCTGGGCGGGAAACTGCTACGCACTGGCCACTTCGACCTGCAGGACTCCACCGAGTTCACCGTCAGCAGCCTCTCCCGCGACTCCTACGGCATCTACAACTGCAACATCATCAACGAGGCGGGCGCCGGCCGCTGCAGCTTCCTCGTCACAGGTAGGGCGGGGAAAAAAACCCACTTTAAAGAGGGGTTGGGGTGTTTCTGGAAGGGAGATCAGGCAGTTTGTTGGCAGGTATGATGGGGCAGAAATCCCACTTTTCAGAGGGTTTGGGGATGTTTCTGGAAGGGATTTTAAGGTTTTTGTTCACAGGTTTGGCAGGGCAAAACTGCTTTTCAGAGGGTTTGAGATTTTCTGGATGGGATTTTAGGCAGTTTGTTTGCAGGGTAGGGTTGGAAAAAAGTCTGAATTTTCAGAAGGTTTTGGGGATTTTCTGGAAGGGAGATCAGGCAGTTTGTTGGCAGGTATGATGGGGCAGAAATCCCACTTTTCAGAGGGTTTGGGGATGTTTCTGGAAGGGATTTTAAGGTTTTTGTTCACAGGTTTGGCAGGGCAAAACTGCTTTTCAGAGGGTTTGGGGTGTTTCTGGAAGGGATTTTAGGTAGTTTGTTCACAGGGTAGGGTTGGAAAAAAGTCTGAATTTTCAGAAGGTTTGGAGTCATTTCTGGAAGGGATTTTAGGCTATTTTTTCATAGGAACAACGGGGAAAAAAACCCACTTTAAAGAGGGGTTGGGGATTTTCTGGAAGGGAGATCAGGCAGTTTGTTGGCAGGTATGATGGGGCAGAAATCCCACTTTTCAGAGGGTTTGGGGATGTTTCTGGAAGGGATTTTAAGGTTTTTGTTCACAGGTTTGGCAGGGCAAAACTGCTTTTCAGAGGGTTTGGGATTTTCTGGATGGGATTTTAGGCAGTTTGTTGGCAGGTAGGATGGGGCACAAATCCCACTTTTCAGAAGGTTTGGGGAGCAGTTTCTGGAAGGGATTTTAGGCTGTTTCTTCATAGGAGCAATGGGGCAGAAATCCCGCTTTTCAGAGGGTTTGGGATGTTTTTTGAAGGGAGTTCAGGCAGTTTGTTCACAGGTAGAGTTGGGGCAAAATCCTGCTTTTCAGAGGGTTTGGGGTGTTTCTGGAAGGGATTTTAGGTAGTTTGTTCACAGGGTAGGGTTGGACAAAAATCCAGCTTTTCAGAGGTTTTGGGATGTTTCTGGAAGAATTTCAGGCAGTTTGTTTGCAGTTAGGGCAGGGAAAAAAACTCGCTTTGCAGAGGGTTTGGGGCRTTCMTGGAAGGGATTTTAAGGTTTTTGTTCACAGGTAGGGTAGGGCAAAAATCTCACTTTTCAGACACTTTGGTAGGACATTTTTGAAGGGATTTTAGGCAGTTTGTTCACAGGTAGGGTGGGGCCAAAATTCCAGTTTTCAGAAGGTTTGGGGATGTTTCTTGAAGGGATTTTAGGCAGTTTGTTCGCAGGTATGACGGGGCAGAAATCCCATTTTTCAGAAGCTTTGGGGGGAAGTTTTTTGAAGGGATTTTAGGCAGTTTGTTTGCACGTAAGGTGGGGCAGAAATCCCACTTTTCAGATGGTTTGGGATGTTTCTGGAAGAGATTTTAAGATTTTTGTTCATAGGTAGGGCGGGGCAAAAATCCTATTCTTCAGAGGGTTTGGGATTTTCTGGAAAGGATTTTAAGGTTTTTATTCACAGGTAGGGTAGGGCAAAAATCTCAGAAGGAAGTGAGAAAGAATCTCACTTTTCAGAAGGTTTGGGATTTTCTGGGACAGATTTTAGGCAGTTTGTTTGCAGGTAGAGCGGGGCAAAAATCCCACTTTTCAGAAAGTTTAGGGACATTTCTGGAAGGATTTTAGGTAGTTTGTTCACAGGTAGGGTGGGGCCAAAATTCCAGTTTTCAGAAGGTTTGGGGATGTTTCTGTAAGAGATTTTAAGGTGTTTGTTTACAGGTAAGGTGGGGCAAAAATCCCACTTTTCAGAAGGTTTGGGATGTGTCTGGAAGGGGATTTTAAGGATTTTTTTCACAGGTAGGGTAGGGCAAAAATCCCATTTTTCAGAGTCTGGAATGTTTTTTGAAGGGAGTTTAGGCAGTTTGTTTTGGATGTAGGGTAGGGCAAAAATCCCACTTTTCAGAGGGTTTGGGGGATTTCTGGAAGGGATTTTAAAGTGTTTATTTGCAGGAAAGGTGGGGTAAAAATCCTGCTTTTCAGAGTGTTTGGGAATGTTTCTGGATCAATGACCAACAGGAGCTCGGACACTAAGAATGGGGTATTTTGGGATAATGAGAATTTTTGGTTTGTTTTTTTTTAAATGTATGAATATGGGAAAATCCTGGGAAAGAAAGGTATGGTTGGAATGATTTCCACTGCACAACCTGGTAGATGGAATTATGGTTGGCACCATTCAGAACCTGCTGGAGAATTTTCCACCAACTTCTCCAAATCTTGGGAGTTTCATCCCAAAAGTGGCTCTGAAGGAATCCAGAAAAAAAAATCTTTTGCYTCAAATGGGTAAATTTGGTTCAATTTATTCATCGGGGTTTGGATYCCAAACTGTGGAAATTGATTTCAAGGCCATTATTTTGCCGGGATCGGGGCAGTTTAAGAGGTTTTAGCAAACCACAAAAGTGAAAATTATTCCTAAAATGATTTTATGGTGTTCCCCATCTCCCGTGCTCATTTAGAGCTCATCCCATCCCATAATTTATGCTGGATTAAAGATGCTGGAAGTGACACTTTGACTTTTTTGAGTGTTTTAGGGTTAAACCCGAGTTTATTCAGGAAATAAATTTTGTGACCCCGCTCTCAGAGCTGTGGCTCTGTTGTGCTCTCCACCCTCAGCAGCACAGATGGAACTGAAAATGCTGAAAAAATGATGAAATTGTTAAAAAAGAGCCTTGGATTTCACTGGGAATGTGAATAGAAACAAGAAATTGGCATTTCTTAGACACGATTGATAAAATAAAGCCTAAGAAATGACTCCGAGGGAGGAATGTGGAGCAGTTCTGTGGAATTTTTGTTCTGGGGGGGGGGGATAATGAGGTGGTTTAACCCATTTTTTGCTGTTTTATTTCTGATTTATCACACAGAAAAGCAGAAATGTGCCAGAGTGGGGCTGCACAAAACCCTCGGCGTGCTCAGAAAAACCTTTCCAGTGCAGCTTTTAAAGCAGCCTGGATTGAAAGGTTTATCCTGAYCCCAGAGCCTGCAAAATCCCTTTWTATTTTTATTTTTTTTYCCCCATATATTTTGASGCRGCTTGGAGGAGATGAAAGCCACGCCAATCACWCGTGGGAAAGGGGTTAATTTATGGCATCGGGGCCGGCGGGAGGCAGATGCCACCTGCCACTCTCTTCCCAATAAATCCAAAGTGACAGGAAAAATTTGTGTTGGTGGTGAAGCAGCGCCGAGTTCGTGCTCCTCGCAGCTCCAGCACTGAAATGTTTTATTCAGGCCTCGCTATTCCAGCTCTGGAATATCCAAAAATAGCCAAAATTCCYTTCCAGGCTGTGGCTGTTAAACCCTGCCAGGGCTGGGAGCAGAACTGAGCTTAGGAAGGAGGAGGAGCTKCCCCGAGGGAGATTTTGGGTGCTGGGGAAGGAGGGGATGAGCCCATGGAGCAGCTGCCGAGGTCACCAAAGCTCCTCCAGGACACACCTGAGCCCTCTCGGGGTCGTGTCCTGGTCATGCCCAGCTGGGGACACTTCTGGAACAGCTTTTTCACAGCAGCTCGGGTTCCTCGAGGCACAGGAGGGTGATCTCGGTGTTTTTGGAGTTCCCAGGAGGGATGGGGTGAGATTTGGGTTGGTGTCTCGAGAGCTAGTGCCACGTTTTTCTTGTTCTGCTTGTTCTTGTTCTTCTCATTTTTCTCCTTCTCCTCTTTCTCCGCCTCATTTTCTCCTCTCATTTCCCCTCCTTCTCTTTCTCTTCCTCCTCTCATTTCCTTTTCCTCCTCCTCATTTCTTTCTCCTTCTCCTTCTCCTTCTCCTCCTCCTCCTCACCCTTCTCATTTTCCTCCTTCTTCTCCTCCTCTTTCTCCTCCTCCTCATTTTTCCTCCTTTTTCTCCTTGTTCTTCTTCTCCTCCTTTTCTTTCTCCTTCCTTTCCTCCTTCTCCTTCTCCTTCTCCTTCTCCTTCTCTTCTCCTTCTCCTTCTCCTTCTCCTCCTC